ATTTGTATCGTTAAAATATATTTCTACAATCTAATTAAATTGAAAGACAAGCTCTGTTCGGATAACAGTGGAATTCGGTCGCTGTTGAAATATTGATTAAGCTTTTTATGTTGCTTTTCAATCTGGTGCGTATATCTTGAAATATATTTATGTATCGCTCATTCGCCGCGCCGTTGTGACTTTCTGATTCATTATCATCTTTATGACCAATACAATAAGAGCACTGAAACGTATCATGTCTATGTACTAACCACACACAGCGAAAGCCAATGAACTGCAGAACTGCTAACTTTCCAAAGACAAAGGTGTTAATATTTCACACTTCAACATGTTAAAAAGTGTGCAACATGAAATTCTTTTCAGTCAACTGTGTCGCCGTCATTTGCCTGTTAACACCTATAAAATAACATAGGCGACAGTTGACCAATATTTGTATAATAAATTGAAATGGTAAATCTCTAAATGTGCCTCAAGAATCAAATGAAACGTCAACAAAGGGCTAAATGTTTATGGAAAGTCGGCACGCGCACACGCTACCAATCGACCAGATGACACAGCTGTTATGATTTAAGACGACAAATACCTCTTTGAGGAGCGTTAAATGGAGAGCATTGTGAATATGACGTTTTATGTCGCCTACACAATCAAAAAGGGGACCTATCTCGATGATCGAAGCCCATTCTGTGGCGGATAAAGCCTCTCTGTTGCGCTAGTCAATATAATTCGTGTTGGAGAACAGAAAAAAAAACAAGTGTGCTTCGGTCAGGTAGCCGATCGTTTGTGTTCCATTGTGGCCTAATGATGCGATGAATACTTCGATTCTCAATCGAACAGGTGTCGTTCATTTAGTCCTAGTCACTTCCTTAGTTTATTTTGCACTTTTAGAAGTTCGATGAACGCGTTTGATTATTCTAATGTTATTCGAGTGGCGTGAAAGCGCCTCGATAACCTCGACGGACTGGACGTGCAGGGAATGACTGATAAATAGCGCATACTTATATCCCACTTGTACATAATTTGGATCGTGAGCAATTAAAGTCTTACTCCTTTGTAATAAAGGCTAGAGACAAATTTATGTATCGACACGAGATGTATAGCCCCTTATTTCCATTTCATCACCGCAGTCAACACGGAGTTTAAGAAATTATTCAAAGCCAATGTTAAACAAATGCCGCTATAGAATTACATCACCGTAACATACTATTTCAGAATAAGCAACTTGAATATAATATACGTTTAAGTGATCGTGGCTGTCGTTAACGGTTCAACGTGCGAATAAGCAATTTTCTAAGGATGTGATCTTGACTGGGTGCAGATGGCCCTTTGTGGCAGGCGGCATCGTTTGCCTTCGTCTATCATAATGTCTGCATTTATTGCTAGTTCATCGGCCTTTTCCACACCCGATATGTTCAGTCGCGAAATACCGTTGTATAGTCAATTCACTAAGTTTCTCTTGACTAGATCGGAATCTCTTGATCACGAGATTATCACTGTGATTTGTCAAAGTGCAGTAGCGACTGAGGGTATTGGCGGTACAGGAGATTCGATCGCTGCATGCGATAGCTGCAGAAACGCTACTCGACCCACAGACAAGCCTCTCTCGACTCGCATTCCGATGTAAATTGCCCGCGGCTGCGGCCAGATTACTGGCGCCGCAATGGATAATTACGAACCGCCGAGGACATCCATTACGGAAGATAATTCAGCGAGCGCAATTAGAGGATGAGTCGTGATTCGATCAACAGCGGCGATACAGGCGATAAAGCGAGCTAAAGCACTATAAATTTGCTGTGCCTACAATTATTGAGTTAGCTCCAAGCGTCTGTTTTATATTCCATATGACTGTACCTTGCCAATGATAGTCATAACGCCAGTGGCGTTCTGCCATAATTAGAATACTACTAAATGCGCTTTAGAAGCAATGACGGAAGTATAATGGAATGTAGATTTTCGAAAATATCTATCTTCCGAAATGTAGATGAATTAGTACCATTTGAATTCCACAACAAGGCCGCAACACAGCCTTGCTTTTTCCGCATCATCCAATCAACATAAAGCCTGTTATGTTCGCTTCAATCTGAATAGTAGAGAAACCGGCTGCGGCGCGCGCCACAAATATTATTAACGTAATAAAGTACTAGATAAAGCTGAGTTGGACAGCGTGTGAATACTAAGAGAAAGCCGTTGTCGCAACTTTAGCCAGCTAGTTACTATCCGGTAGTTATTCGAATATTTTTAAATAGAATTTTGAGTACGTTCTCCGAGCAACTTGAGACACTCGGTACAATCATTCATGTTGTAGGTAAATACACAGCTATTAATATTTCCAATGAAAGCAATAAGATTTAGAATGGACCTTCACGGATAATCAGATAGAAATAGCAGACTATTTCTGCACATAACTCGTGTACTATCTCGCTGCTCAATCTAAATTGAATCTCTGATCTGAAATGAACGAAATATACTGAAATAAGCTTGGAACTTGATATCTTAGACGTCTTGTAGTTACTGCAGCGTTCTGTAATGAAATTGAAGGGACGTGGCAAACGGAGCGGCACTAGTTATCTTTATAAAGCGATCTGTTTCAACTGCTCTTTTGAGGAACATTTCAATCGCGATTCGCGAGAACCGGCTTCCGATCGAATCTTACAGTGTTGGTTAAATAAAATACTACTGCCTTATTTGGTGCCTTTCTGTGTTTATTTATTTTAGATCTATGCTAATACTATAAAGTGATAAGATTAGATATTTTCATTTATATAAAATTACTTTATCAGTGATTAACATACGCTGCTTATTATGGTATGTCACGCGGGTTGCAACTTGTATCATATAATATATTTTTATATACTGAATCACTCCATAAAATGGTATTTTTTTTTATTAATATGTAGATTTTTATAATTATTATATACATTTAGTGTAGTACATACACCTATTTGTCTAAGCAATATTTATTTATTATATTTTTTAATTATCTCGGTGCTCATAATGCATCAACGCTAGATTTGAACTTATTTTTGAATAGGCCAACAAATAAGCCAACTAAAACTAAACTTAAATTCTCCAAAAAGAATCCTTTAATCATCGCAATTAGTGATGCAAGCAACGGAAATACAAAGTTTACACCTCATTTAGTAGCACGCGTCAGAAGGGTGACCAATTGTACAAAAACCCTCTAACAAATACGCATCTCCGTTGAAGTTAATCGATTATCGTCACATTAAAAAACGGTTTTAGAGTTAATGTGTCGTTAAGCCGTAAAGTCCGAAGACCTGAAAATTTGACTGTTTATAAAATATACTTATAACAAATTGAGAATATAGTGTCACAGCAATAAATCTACGCAACAAAAGTTCGAAAAATATAAGAAGCACTTTTCTTTATCTTATAATGTTTTATCCCATACTTACCAGTCTCGTCTTCAACTCATTAGTTCATCTATCTCTTTTTTGTCTCGCTGCATCCCTTTCCCACCCATCTCTGGACAGCCATTTATCAATTCCAAATAACATGCCGGGACCTTTTCTGTTTTGTTTGTTTGTTTTTTATTTACTTTATCCTTCGGTGTTCCGATTGTGCCGTGCCTTCTTTTTTTCCATGAAATTGATTGTACATCCGAACTAATGGCGTCCATCCAACATAATGTACGATGAATTGATAACGCTAATTGTATAGTTAATGAGTAAATATTTAAACTGTATTAGTTATTTTTAGAACATCAAAAAGTCCATCGAACGTTGAAAAGAGACAACCGGTAACTCAACATCGCTATTAATATCATATCCATCCTATTGTAGTGTGAGTTTATTACTTTTAAAGCTTTATAAAATACAATATTGCATTGCAATTAAATGTTTTCAATTTCTCCAGCAAACCATTATTCTTCTCTGCGAATGTTGTTTGTCTCATATCTGTACTTAAATATAAGAACACGTTTGTTGTGCAAAAGTAATTTAGAAAATATTTTATTGTAGATGTAATGTCGAATGTATTATTAACTTTGGATTCATGTAATGTTTCAATAAACACAATGATAATTGTCCTCTCTTAAATTTGATTGTTCCAACTAATTTGGAAGGGTTAGGTTTTTATCGAGATTCTTAATCGATGTCCCACTGGACCGCATCGGCAGTTGAGTAACTAATCATTAAAAAATTAAACCTAAAAAATAAACATATTACGTGAACGAAAAAGATATTCCGAAGATGCCGGACATCAAGGGGGGTCTTCCTTGCATTTTATCGGTCCGGAGAGCAAATAAAGCGGCGGCCCTCTGAAATTAATTTCGTTTTGTTTCATCGTCTGGAGTCGAAGCATTTACATTGAATGCGGTCGGAGGCTGGCCGTTGTAAGATATTTATGTAGAGGTTCGTAGAGTATGACGTGCGCATTATTCATAAAAGATACTCGGCGCAGCGCGGACCAGCTGTATGTTATTTTTACCGGTTCATCGGCTTGTCGTCGTTAGAAAAATAAAACATGTAATCCAAAATAAATGTTTGTTACACACATAACATTTGATATTGTTTATGTCTGTACATCGACAGGTCGGATAAACGGTTTAAATTCGTAACGATGATTTCCTTAGTACGATTTAGTTCGTGTTTATTATCCTGTAAAACGCCTATGACGTTAATCGTACTGGGAACTGTTAACACCGCATAGGTAAACTTAGGTACTGTAAATCGAATATTATTGAATTTTACGAGCTCCAAAGGCGCCACGATGTCGACACAATGATTGGATTTACAACCCATGCCATACTTCCTCTTGAATTTTGCAATCATTTCCTTTTCCCTTCAAATTGAAATTACCACACTTATTCAGTGTAGACTGAGATAACATTAATTATTTTTGTATTTATTTTCACAAGTGCCGGAAATTCCGTTCGTAATTTAAGGTCTCAACATTTTGTTCTGGAAACAAGAAACCCAATTGATAAATTTATTATGGTTTAGTCGGTTAATAATTTAAAAATCTTGTATCTTTCTTTCCAGATTCAAAAGCTGACAGTGACACAGATGGAGTGCGGTGTTACTGTAATACAGCCGAGTGTGTGGGGACTGGATACATGTGCCGGTCTCCTCGAGGTGGGGGATGTTACAGCAAGCTGCCGTCTCCTCGGCGATCTCGCCATGCGAAACATGGATGTCTGTACCATTTAGCGGATACGTAAGTATTTAACGATTTTATATCAAATATAATTAAAGTTTAGAACAACTCGAAAAAAAAAGGAAATAAAAAAGAATAAAAATGCATCCAACGTTTAACTACCACTGGATACGATTCATGTTCAGTCTTTTTCAATCCTTTCGTTTTAATAATCTCTTTTTTATTAAATATGCGAACTTCTTTGATGAATAATTACCGAAATATTTTCTTATTTTCGCAGCATATATACTTTTGAGTTTATCATTTTTAGATTTTAAACTGATGATCAACCTGATAGAAAGTTAAAACCATCGCCTGTAGAGAAATTATAATTGTAGGTTTTAAAGTCAGATATTAATTACTATTTTTATAGTATTCAACCTCGAAATTTGATCACAAACATGCGCCTGATACGCAATTATATTGCTGTTTTACATGAACTAATTTGCTATACGATCATTGATAACGATCAAGTTCGGTGATCTGAAATTAGAATCAACCGTGATCAAAACAAGAATCTTCAGTAACGAGCCGTTTTGAAGATCGTATCAAGTATTATTACCACTCTGCATATAATTAAGCAACCACCTGATATGGATTGGAGCCTCATTATCTTGTATGTAACTGTATGAGGCTCATATATACCTTCACTACTTTAGCTGTCATAAATTCCATCTTATTCGGTATTGCTGTCATGAAATTTTATTCAAATTTAAACAAATTTTATAGCTTATTTTTCTTAACTCACTTAATTAAATATACTTAATCCTTGTTATCTATACTAATATTATAAAGCTGCACACTTCGGTTGAACGCAATATTGGCTATTAAATATCGAATTGAAATATCCTTTAAGAGTTGGATGGTCCATTTATTTAAGATAACTCTATGTAGATTACCATATATAATATTACGCTACGACCAATATGTGCCGCAAACGAATCTGCGCGGAACAGCTAGTTTCAAATAAACGTTCTAGCTACGAAACCGTGATTTGTTTTTGATGCACGTCATGTCGGTTTCTTGTGTTTTTCGTTAACTTTCATCATCGAATTAATTATCTATTCTTTTGTTAGTCCCGATACAACAGGCGCGTCGTCATCCATCAATTCTGCTTATCATGCTCGAGACCCATGACTTGTTTAACTAATCTACGTGTTTCATTTCAAGTATCTTCAATCAATTTGTCTTTGGACATATCAAAAGAAAAAATTTTTTTGCCGTAAAATAAATAAGAAAATTACTTTAAAAGCGATTATACCCAGTTCATGCAATATCTGCGTTACATATCTGTCTGTGTTTTTCAAAAACGATGTTCAATACCCTTAATGATTATTTATAAGTATAGTGCTTTAGTAGTGAACTAACATGTTAATAAATTATATATGTATATAACTATATTGAAAATTAAATATCCCATTATTCCTTGGTGGTTTAGCACACCGCGTTACTTTTGATCGTAGCAGGTTCGATTCCTCGTACGGTACAAACGTTCGTATACAAACAATCATACTCATGTGAATATGATTGTTTGTAAAAAGAAAATAAAAACAGAAGTACACAGAAAATATCCGGACCAAATCTGGATGTTTTCTATATTTATATATATTTACAAAAAATCTATTGAAATATTTATATCAGTTATCTAGTTGTGCTTGGGACTAGGATGGCGGTGTGTGAATTATTATTATCAAAAATAATATATATTGAGTGATAGTATAATCACAATGTTATTCGGTAATTTGTTTAGTATTTACACGAGCATTTTTTATATGGTGATTCAAATATATTGAAAACTTATTAATCGCTTTTTGAAAACTGAGTCTGAGGGTTCTCATTTTGGTATTCATACACCGATTAGACGTGACATAATATTGTGTTTGTTTATGACTGACTTTCAATATTCCAAAAGTCCATCAGGACTCTTTTTTATTTTGTACTTATACCTCCCGGGTATGTTCGGGTTAGTTAATATTAATTATTCCAACAAAGGTATGCCGGTATAAGTTGGTTTGGTTTTTATACTCTAAAATTACCCGCTCAGTTGATTATCTTATTCGTATGGGCCCGGGCCTCGTTCAAACTGGTTCCGTGCGCGGGCGCATGCCCCTTTTTATTTGCTTTAAATAATTTTTGCTCCTTTTTGGCAATCTCCTCCATCCATTATCTCAGTTAACGATCGTCGAGCTCGCTTCGTTAAGATTCGATCGAGTTCAAATTGATATGCGGTCGCTTTATCGGTAATTAAAGAGCGTCGGGAACTAGTGGTTTACTACTCCGACTTATGGTAGTGAGTTCGATTCTGACTGTTACTTTTACTTTATTTTTCGAACTAACTTTCAGTTGATGATAACACCAATATGATACCAAAATCCTAGTAACGGTTCCTCTTTCTTAGAATATACACAATAATGTTAGCGTTTCAACAGTTGAGTACACCGCGACGTTAACAATGATTCTGACTACTGACACAGGGGATACAAGTCGTGAAGATAATTATAATTATAATAATCAATATTGTTTGAGTTGTTTATTGTCTGTAATGTATTGTTGAGTGATGTTGGATCTGTGTCCTCATTTGTGGAGATAAGGCTGACGGCAGCTTGAGGTTGAGCCTGAGGTCAGGCTTACAGATAGCGTCGCAGCTGTACGGGCGGCGACCCCAGCTCGCCACTTCATCTGCTCTTATATAAACACATTGTTTCTATCATGTAAACCTATAGATACGATAAGAATTATTCCGCAGGTTTTCTGTTTTTTTTACTTTTTTACGTAACTGAAGTGACAATAAAACCACCTGTTATAAAACGGCAACCGTCGTCAATATATTGTGAACATGATGTAAAACAAATACAATAATAAGCGGAGGAGCGAGGACCATGTCCTATAGAAAGTATTTAACGTGAACGGGGATGAATGGAAAGGGAGAGGACAACAAAAAACAGATGGATGGATTGTGTGAAACATGATATGTATAAAAGGAGAGTAAGCACATGTATGACGGCAGATAGGGATCAGTGGGAGAAGAGGACATACTATGGCAACTCCAAATAATGGGATAAAGGCAAGACAATGTTGTCATACAAATATTTGTAGTTTGCCTGAAAAGTGGTTGACAGGTTGAAACAATTTATGATTTTGGAATCGCTCTCTCCATCATCTGGCATACAAAAAGAATTACTATCCAGTGGTAATAAGAAGTAATTTGATTAATAGTATTATATATATTCCGAGGCTTTATTTGCATTTTCTTTTAATACTAAATTCATGTGGTAACCCTCATGTATTGTTATTCTTGAAGACTTCGAGATCATCTCTAGCGAGCTCTCTAGAGAGCTATCGTATCCTGTAATGCCACTGCTATATGCCACCTCAAACAGAAACAGCTTATAAAACAAGCTATTTGACTGCTGAAATTATGTACCCACGCAAATGATTGTACAGATTCTACCCCAGTAATTTCTTCATTCAGACAGCTCCGAGTCCAATGTTACGATTATAAATAATTGGGACAGATTAAAAAATGGTGTTGCACCACATTTTTACTGACACAGATCTTGACCTATACCCAGATATATACAGATTTTATAATCTATCAATGCGTATATATGATTGTGATTTACAAAGAATGCCCTCCAAAATTCTGTTATTTACAGTAAAATATTATCGTATAGAAAATGGAGCCTCTCATATCAAGTAAATAGAAATAATCAATCAAATACTATCATAATGATATTGCCGTTATCATCTAGTCGAAAGAAAGGCTCCGGTTATAGTGTTATATTATCACTTTCTATATAAACACTAGTTGTATAGAATAGAACCCGCGACTTCAGAAGTAAGGCGGTGTCTAAACCGATAGACCATCAAGGCGAGAATACGGCCTATTTATTCTTATCTTTACTACTGGTATCTATTTAACATTTCTTATAAAGTGCAATGAAGGGAATTCAAATGTATCCGCAATTGAATGAGGAGTTAGTCATTATATTAGCATTTTTAACCTACATACTAGTTAGGTTAATAATTTCATCATGAATAAATGCAACGATACAATTCGTATTAATTATCCAATTAATTATATATGTAAAAAATTTATCTGATCAATTTACATAATTCGTATACTTATGAGCAGTTAAGATTTTAACCGAACTTAATTAAATTTTAACTAATGCTTTATCTCTACGTTGCTAATGGCATATAGTCGATTAAAAGTTATTTTTATTAAAATATAAATAATTGAAACTGACTATCTCATAATTTAGATTTATAATATAGTAACAACGTATGTGGGGTTTGATTTCTTATTTCGATTTTTTTTTATTTTGATGGCAACTGTGGAATCAGACATTAAATCAAATTGAATCATATTATAGCAGTGTTATTCATTTTAAGTATTATTATTAATTCTCAACGGTACTTTACTTTAAGTAGTTTTTCTACATGTTTATCTCCTCCTTGTTAATGTGTATTTACTTAAAATAACATTTATTTAAAAGAGCAAAACCCAAGTTTATTAATAACAGAAGTGTTTATTGAATAAATGTTATTTCTATTTCTACTCCTTTTATTTCGCAATGAGTATGTGTTATGTCAATTAATAGGTTCAATTAAATGACTGAAAAACTCCCGCCCACCTGTACTCGAACAAATCGTTTGGACGAGAGTTTTCTCATGCGGCCTCATGTGCAAAAGTCGCCATTGCCGCTTGAACATCAACATCGAGAATGCGGCAGCGAGTGTTTTTCTAACCTATTAATTCAAATTACAAATTAAAGTGGACGAAACTGAGAACTTCACTGTGGAAACTATTTAATAACATCAAACAATGTCAGTGTGTATGTAAATAGTAACCCTAGGATACCCCACAAGGTGGTAGTATAATTTGGTGAGTCGCCATCATTATTAAGCCATTTTTTCAATATTAAAACCGAAGCTTGTCGAACTAAACTAAACTAACTAAAAATTAGTACTTTTAGCGAATAATTAGTGAACTTCGAAATAACTATAGCAACGGATGT